CTGTCGGGGATATAGTACCTTCATATGACTACTCATACGTATACAACAGAAAAAAACGTCGCATGGACTTAGTGAAAAATGGAGATCTAAATGAAAAAACGATGTATTTCAGCAAGTATTAAAACATTCTAGTTTTATTTTAGGCCTTCTTCAAAATACCTATGCCTACAGTAGTTGATTTTTTTGCCGTAAAACCAAAATAGTTTCATCCACGCCGACTTTCCGGTCGGTTAGCGTGAGCCCTGACTGAACTCTGCAGAAACTTCACATCGATCTTCGCATCACGATGTAAAACAAAATGTCGGAAAACTTTTCTTTGACGCATGCGCATTTGCATAAATGTCTACACACACACGCACACACTACACACAATAAAAAACATAGGAAATAGCAAGAGTGATTACAATAGTTCCTATTGCATACACATTGTACCCGCAGTCAAAGTAAAAACACTCTTATTGAATACACCTGGAATAATATGCAAGGTAAAAGAACTTTTGTTTACCGTTCTACTAAATTATGGAATAAACTCCCGGATGATATTAAAACCAACTTTAAATCTATGACACTTTCAAATTTTAAGCATTCTATTTCAAATCCTCACCAATAATTCCTGCTTAATATTATAGACCGGGAGCCCAGGGGTGTCAGCATAGCTGGAAAGTTAACCAATTTCTGTGTATATAGTAATGTTCTATGTGCCTGTCTATGTAGGAGAATGGGCATCTGCCGGTCCCATTGTGGTGGGTGTGGTCAGGAGGGGCATAAAAAGGGCCTCAAAAATTGAGCTAGATCAACTTGTGAATTAACCCAATGAAACCTATCAGAATATATTCGGCATAGTTCAAGATAACATGAATGGTCAATACCAGACATTTCCAGTGGTGGGGGGTGCGTGCCAGACGCAAAAAACCGGTACCCCAAAATTAAGCTAGATCAGCTCGTGAGTTAACCCGATGAAACCTACTGGAAAATGTTGGGCATAGTACCAGGTATCAGGAATGGTCACCGCCA